CCTTTATTTTACAAAAATGGGCCACATCCAATTGGCCATCCAATCTTTTCTCTCTTCACTCTCTTCCAAGTGGTGTAGCCACAGAGAACATACAAACACTATTTTGGTATTGCTGTGGCTGCCAGTTCAACTCTGGCATGGAAGTCATTTTTCTTACTCTGACTATATACCTACTACTATTATACTAAAGGGTAGTACCAGTACTACTATATACATACAAGTAGTAGTAGTAGTAGCAGCACATACAATAAATCGCAAGTGTGATCCAGGGATGCCATTTCGTGAAATAAAATTTTCAAAATTCTCGCCAGTCCAGAAATGCAAGTCCAGCAGGTGCGGCGGCGGCGGGAATTAGCAACGGAGTAGCAGCGGCAGCGACGGCGGTGGGGCTGGGAGGGCCATTAGTCTCAACAAGAGGCGCGGCGGCGGGGGGAATTAGCAACAGCAGCAGGCGTGGCGGTGGGGGGAATTAGCAACGGCGTAGCAGCGGCAGCGACGAAGGTGGGGCTGGGAGGTGCATTAGTCTGAACAACAGGCGCGGCGGCGGCGGGAAATAGCAACAGTAGCAGGTGCGGCGGCGGCGGGCATTAGGAACGGAGTAGCAGCGGCAGCGACGATAAAGGGGCTGGGAGGTGCATTAGTCTCGACAAAAGGCGCGGCGGCGGCGGGAACTAGCAACAGAGTAGCAACGGCAGCGACGGCGGTGGGGCTGGGAGGTGCAGTAGCCTAAACGGCAGGCGTGATAGCGGCGGGAACTAGCAACGGAGTAGCAACGGCAGCGACGGTGAAGGGGCTGGGAGGTGCAGTAGCCTAAACGGCAGGCGTGGCAGCGGCGGGAAATAGCAACAGCAGCAGGTGCGGCGGCGGCGGGAATTAGCAACGGAGTAGCAGCGGCAGTGACGAAGGTGGGGCTGGGAGGTGCAGTAGCCTAAACGGCAGGCGTGGCAGCGGCGGGAAATAGCAACAGCAGCAGGCGCGGCGGCGGCGGGAATTAGCAACGGAGTAGCAGCGGCAGTGACGAAGGTGGGGCTGGGAGGTGCAGTAGCCTAAACGGCAGGCGCGGCGGCGGCGGGAAATAGCAACACAGCAGCAGCGGCAGCGACGAAGGTGGGGCTGGGAGGTGCAGTAGCCTAAATGGCAGGCGCGGCGGCGGCGGGAAATAGCAACACAGCAACAGCGGCAGCGACGGCGAAGGGGCTTGGAGGTGCAGTAGCCTAAACGGCAGGCGTGGCGGCGGCGGGAAATAGCAACGCAACAACAGCAGCAGC